AAAAAAAAAAAAACAGCCGTCGGAAAGTCCTTATTGTCGAGCCCTGATATACAATCTAATTAAAAATATTAACAAAAACTATAATAGTAATAATATCAAGTAATAATATACTAATATCAATGATACTAAAATAAAACTGCATGAAAATTCATCGATCAAAAGGTGTGGGAAATAGTGTTAATTTTGTCAGCTATTTTTGAATTTAGTCTTAGTTTTAGTCCTGAGTCAAATGTAACTTTGTTTTTATCATATTTAGTCAACTTGTCCTGTTTTAGTTTTATTCAAGTTTTAGTCAACTAAATGTCTGAGCATTTTAGTCTAGGTTTAGTCAGTGGAAACATTTTCATCATATTTTCGTCTTACTGTATAATGGTTAAAATGCTAAAAATTATTCTTTTGCTCAATTTTAACTGCAATGATTGCTGTCATTTTGGGAAATTTATTTTGACATTTCATCAGAAGTTGCTCTTTCACCAATAAGCACAAATCAATAGAATATCAGGATATCAATTAGAGGCTAAATAAACACCAAAGACTTCAGATATACACCCGCACTGTCTACGTTATGAAAACTGGTGTAACAAAAACCTACTCTCAATTATTATGACAGAGAAATTCCTAATAGTAATTCCAAATTGCATTAATGTTTCTCTTTTAAAACAACGGCAAAAACAGACTTATTGCCGCACAGAGGTTGTGTAAGTAACGTTACAATCAGCAAACAATACAGTCGAGATCATGACAGAATGCAGACAGACTGAATGACACTTTCATTTAAGCAGGACACCTCAAACGGAGATCGCTGAACTCCAGCTTACTCGTACAGTACTGTATGTCGGTGTTTTCAGATTTTTATCCATTTACAGGAAAGCTCTGATTGGGGGATTTGAGCTCTTGATATCTGGCAACCGCAAACATGAACGCTCGCATAATAGAGTCTTCTACAGCAGTCTGGCTCCACTTTTTTCAATAAAAATAAAAAGGTTTTGATAAGGTTTTTGCTCTTTTTACTACATTTTAGTCTTGTCTTTTTTCGTCAACGATATTGCATGTTCATTTAGTCTCGGTTATCGTTTAATGACCTTATTATCGTCTCGTTTTCGTCAGGAGAAAAAACTTTAACTATCATTTTTCGTCATAGGTTTAGTTAATGAAATGAACACTAGTGAGAAACCTGTTACAATTGTCTAATTGAGCACTGCAGCAGAGCTCGTGTTTGAGGCCCATCCTTCTGTTTCCCACAGGCTCTGAAAGCTCCACAGACGACAGTGAGCGAGAAGAACATGGTGATGCTGATCACGACGACGAGGATCATCCAGGAGGACGAGCGAGCCTTCGGAAAGCAGGTCTTCCAGAGCGCCCGCATACGCCACAGCACTGGGAGAGCGGGAGCCCGTCTGAAGCCTTCAAAGCTCCCGTGGTTGCGGACGAGGAGCCGAACGTCCTAGAAACGGGCAAGAGAAAGGGCCAATTTGAGGTGGAGCTCGAAGGTCCTGGCGGCAGAAGAAAAAAAGCAGAAGGTCAAGGCGAGCGTGCTTTAAAAAGCCCAGGGAAAGGCAAAACTAGAAGCAGCAGAGGAGGCGATTGGCTGCCAAGTAGTTCACCCAAAAAGTTGGAGGAACGAGGTCCGGTTGAGGATAGAGGCGCTCAGTCGTGTAGCAGCTCTGAAGACGAAGCAGATCCTCCAACAGGACCACAAACCAAGGAAGAACCAAGAGGAAATCCCAAAACCAAGGGCTCCCCTTCAAAGAAATACAACGGAGTGAAGGAGAAGAATAAAAGCGGGCGTTCGGGATTCTGGGAGATCCCGGAGAAAAGAGCCAAAATATCCACAGGGATCGAAGAAAGGTCACCTGGCTGTCGTACTAAAGGCCAGAAGGATGTGTGGTCCAGTATCCAAGTTCAATGGCCCAAGAAGATCCTAAAGGATCTGTTTTCGGACTCGGACACCGAGGCGGCCAACTCGCCTCCACCCGCCGTAACGGCTCCGGACGAGCCCTGCGTCGAACCCTCCCGGGACGATGAGATCGCCGAGGACAAGCTGCAGGAGCATCCCAGCAGCGGCACCAACTCGGTCCTCAACACGCCTCCGACTTCGCCGGAGTCGCCCGCCGTGGGCGAAGGACCCGCCGAGGTCCGAGCACCATCGCCGCCCGCCAGTCCTCCAGCCGTCTCTTCACCGGCAGGACCTCTGATGGAGGAGCAGGCGGGGGGGCGCAGCGAGTCTGACAGCAGCACGGTGGAGGTGGAGAGCTTGGGTGGAGAAATCCAGGAGATTCCTGGAGAAGAGGGGGCAGATTCCCCTTCCAAGGCCTTCGATGGAAACCTGTCCTGCAACAGTAACAGCAACTGTAGCCTGACGCTCAGCAACAGCAGCCAGCAGGAGAGCGAGCAGAAAGTCAAAGGTGCGTATCGTCGTCTACATCATATGCACGTTCAGAGATTGTGTTTTGTTTCGGTCCAATGCTAAGGCAAGGGATTTGACGTGCACTACCAGTCAAATTTAGTTTTTATTTTTCATAAAGACATTTATAATGTTACAAAAGATTCTATTTCAAATAAATGCTGTTCTTTTGAACTTTCTACTCATCAAAGAATCCTGAAAAACAAAATGTATCACAGTTTTCACAAAAATATTAGGCAGCACAACTGTTTTCAACATTGATAATAGTCAGAAATGTTTATTGAGCAGCAAATCAGCATATTAGAATGATTTCTGAAGATCATGTGACACTGAAGACTGGAGTAATGATGCTGACACAGGAATAAATTACATTTTACAATATATTACAACAGAAAACAGTAATTTGAAATTGTAAAAATATTTCAGAATTTTTACTGTATTATTGATTAAATAAATGCAGCCTTGGTGAGCAGAAGAGACTTTCAAAAACATTTAAAAAGTCTTACAGACCCCAAACTTTTGAGTGGTAGTGTATATATAAAAAAAATATTAAATTATTTCTAATTTGTTTTATTTTTATTTATTTTAAAACATATTAAAATGTCCAATTAATTCTTAAATTATTTAAAGGGGTCCTATTATGCTCTTTTACAAAGTCTTGATTTTGTTTTGGGGGTGTACTAGAACAGGCTCTCATACTAGGTTGTTCGAAAAACATATTATTTTTCACATATTTTACATTATTACAACACCTCTCTCCCCAGTCTGGCATGAACGGCTCCAATAGTTCCTGTATCAAATGAAGGTCCGCCTTCTGAAATACGAAAAGTGCTGTTATTGGTTAGCTGGGCCAGTGTGTGTTGTGATTGGCAGCACTCGGCGCCTGGTCGGGAAATGTCATGCCCCTTACCATAGCCGCCTGCTGCGAGCTTCAGTGTAAATATTGTGTCAAAATCAAATCAATTTGAGCACGATTTAAACCCTGATGATTGTAACCACTCTAAGTTCGTCCGCCTTGGGAAAGCTAGCGTGTCTGTGACATAGTGATAACACTCGTTGCCTTCTCTAGTGCAGCTCAACCAGGTCTCGTCCCATTCGTCGATATTTGTGATATCACAAAACCTGGAAAATATGCGTTGTAGTCCAAACGAGTCGTTCGTTGTAGTTTTTGAAAAGTGATTTCTGTTGAATAAAATATCTCCTTTTGAAGTGGACTTTGAGCTTTGTTACTTTGCAGATCTTTTTTATGCTCAAACAGCAACGTTACAGACTAACTAAAGTTGAAAAAGTGAAAAGCATAATAGGACCCCTTTAATATTATTTAAAAAGATATTTCTAAATGTGGTAAATTCTGACCTGCCATGCAGAAAACATCTTGATTATCTACAATAATGCTTTGTGACGAGCTCAGTATCAAAATACGTCTGTGTGAGTCGACCGTGAGGAAGCTCTCTAGGTTTTAAAACGAAGTTAGAGGAATGTTTTTGCATTCTACTATGCTGCTTTTCCATTTTCGACTTTTGTGCTCACTTCTTTTACAGCAAAGTTTAACTAAAGACGTTTAACTTAAAAAAAATAAAATAAAAAAAGGTTTTGAGACCTTGCGGCTTTCCAGAACTTTAGCATGCAAGCCCAGACACTCATGACAAAAATAATTTTGATTTGTCAAAATTTAGCGAAGATATTAGTTAATTAATTGGCCACTTGATGCCCATGTTTACAAGCTGACCTATAGCTGCTGAACAGTGTCCAAGCTTAACGAAACTTGACACACTTAGACAACAGGACATCCTGAGGATGCACACCAAGTTTGTAAAAATTCCGCCAATAGGGGGCGCTACAATGACAAAATATTTTGCTGTAATTCCTCAACCGTATGATCCATGAAGCTGAAAATTGGTGTGACTCTTCTTTGGTGGAGGTCCTAACTTTTCCTCTGTTATGACTAGGCTACATTAAAAAACATGGCTGACAGCAGCCAATGAAATTTCAGCAGTTAATAACATAGATTCTGAATGGCCTACCATTATAAAATTGGATATATTTGTACATCATGGTAAAACAAATGCATGCACCAAATTTTGTGAAAATCAGTCACAAGGTGGCGCTGTAACAAGCAACCCTACATTTCAGCTAATAACTCAACCGTGCCCTGCGTCTTATTAAATGTAAAAACAGCTTGTTTCACTGATTATGTTGTGAATATTCTTTGAACCTTGCAAAATCTAAAAATAATAATAATAATCATTCCAAGAAATGCATTTTCTCACTGAGTTCTCATCCGTCTCACAGCCTCATCCAGTCAGAAGCGGCACAAAGAGTCTCAAGGCGGCGGAGCATCAAAGAAACACAAGCGCAGTCATAAAAACCTGAGCTTACATCCCAAGAAGAACCGCAAACCAGGTAACAGAAATCAGCATCTGCTTAAAGAGCTCGTGTGGCACTTTTAATGTTTTTAAGAAGTCAATGGAGCGTTGATAAGCTTCAGCACGATTACTCAAGAGCTTTATTTCCACAAAAAAACAGTCTTCAGTCTTTCTCTAGTCCTGCCAGATTGCCAGTCTTTATTCCATACAGTCTTGATGCGAGCGTGTTCAAGTGTCTCTGCACATCCATTTCTTTAGCATTTTGAGTGTGTATTGCAGCAGTGTAGCATCATCCTGTAAATCAGCTGTGATGAAAAGCTGTAGGAGTTCAGTGACTTCAGTAACTCACTTTAAGTGATGACTTTTGTCTCCAAATTGAGTTATGGTTTGCTCACTTTCTGCTGCCAGTAAAAACAGATATTGTTCAAGGTTTTTTTTACACTTAAAGGTCCCATATTGTCAAAACTGAAATTTCCTGGCTTTTTTCATGATAACTGAGGTCTAGGTGCTATGTAACTACCATATAAGTTTCAAAACAGTCAGTCCACAGTAAAATGCACACAGCCTGCATAAAGTAGCTGTGATTTTTCACGAACCGTTGTGGCTTCCGTAAAAAGGTGACGTCAGAACTACACAGTCACCGTCTTCAGTCACCACCCCGAGCACCGCCCACAGTCCCACTCTCCTTTTGCCAAACCCCCAGACAACATCGCGTCCATGCCATTGCTGAGCAACAACAACAAGGAAACATGTCAAGAAAACGCTGTTCAGTCTGGATGTCAGGAAACGGCTGTGACGGTCGCCGTGCCACCGGCGGTAGTGCACGTGACGTCACACACTATAATACAAAGTTTTGTATACAAGTGTAATAATAGTAACAGTTGCAAATTGTTTTATTTAGACTGTAAGTCTATGATAATTCACAAATTACCTCAAATGCCATACACGGCGTTTGATCCTTTAGATTGATCAATCCACAGCAGGCTACAGCATACATCACCCTAGTTACCTGTGGTTGACCTGGCCGTGCGTCACTCAGAAAACAACAGGCCAATCAGAAGGAGAGGCTTATGAATATTAATTAGACAGGCCAAAATTGACCTGTTCTTTGCAGAGCTCCTGAGAGAGGAGCTGTAAAAATATATTGAGATGGTTTTTGGTACTTATACCGCAAATATGTATTCTTAAGGACATCAAGACTTAAAATAAAACTCCAGAAAGGTGTAAAATATGTGACCTTTTAAGTCCTCTCAAACCACTTTCAGTTGACCCAGATATAAACTTTGTGAAGTAAGAGTCTAGTTCTCTTTGTGTTCACATTGTATCTGAACATGAATGTGAACTCTCAGCACACTTCTCGCACACTGTTTTATGGTTAGATTATTGTAATTAGGGTTGCATGATTATTTGAGAACGCAACATGCTCCAACCATCTTCCCATACTTGTAATGAAGAAGCACTTATCAACAGAAAACCACAGGGAGCCCTTAAACCTTCTCTGTCAAAATAAAAGTTTGATGGTGTAATGTTTAAAAATGAAGTTGAGAAAAACAGAATTTTACAGTTGTAATGTAATTTTTTTTTTCTAAATACAGTTTTATTTTCTTAATTATGCAGTGAAATACTACTTTAATATTTCCTATTTTAATAATATTAATAATAAAATATTAATAATTCCTATTTTCTAATTTGTATATTTTTATTCAGTAGTAGTAGCAATTATTTATTATTATATAGCCTACAAACAAGCGCAGCAAGCCTGAAAAAAAACAAAAAAACTGAACCTAATTTTAATCGCATTTTAAATTGCAGGTTTTTTTTTCTTTTCAAAGATCATGCATCCCTAATTGATATGATTTTTTTTTTTTATACAATAATAATATAATCTGCAGTTTTTCCACTTTCACTGCATTGGTAGAAAGTCTGGTTTCTGAAAACTGAAGGAAGTCCTTTGAGTTTGACCTAAAATATTTACTTTAAGTAGCACCTAAGGTTTTAATTTAATATTTTAATAATTTAACAAATAAAATAAAATATTTGACCTATTTTTTATTTCTAAATGTGTTTTATTTATAAAATGTTAATAAATTATTATAATTTAATTATTATAAAATATTAAATATATTATTTAAAATGTTATTATTAGTTTATTAATTATTATTACGTTTTAATAAAATTATTAAAACTATTTAAGTTCAACATACAATGTAAAATGTATAATTACTTTAATTATGCATTATTATTAGCACAAACCCCAGTTTGGGAAACCTGCATAAGTGCTTTGCTTTCACACATACTAAAACTGAAGACTTATTTAAATCAAACTCAGGCATAATTGTTTTTATTATTATTATTATTATTTAATACAATTTTATGTGATTATAAAGGCAAATGTAAAATGTTCAATGCACCATGTAAGCTTTCAGCTAAGAGGTTTTGTGTTGGTGTTGATCAGTGTTTGCCTCGTCTCTCCTCTGGGTGGCGCTGCAGCCCACAGCAGTGACAGTGAGGACCAGTGTATGAGCGAGAGCACTGCCAAATCCCCCACATCCATCCCGCACAAGTGCTCCGGCCGGATGCCCCCCTCAGGCCACAAGTACCACAAACACGCTGACCCGGATCACTCCCACGACCGGACCAAGTGGAGCTTCCAGATGTGTGAGTGCCTCAGATTCTCAGCTGCTTGTCTTTTGAATAAGAACTGAATGTTTGGCATTGATTGCCTTTTGCTCCTGTCCGTGCAGCGGACCTGGAAAAGATGAGCAGTCTAGAGCGGATAGCGTTCCTTCAGGAGAAACTGCAGGACATCAGGAATCACTACCTCCTGCTCAAATCGGAGGTGGCCTCCATCGACAGGAGACGCAAGCGCATGAAGAAGAAAGAGAGAGAGAGTGAGTGTGGGCAGTCTTATTATAGTATTATTTATGTACTATTATAGTATTTATTAACGTTTTGAATTAACTTCTATTTATATATTTTGAGTGTCTATTTTATTGTCTATTAGCTTGCGTTTATTTCTATTTCAGGTTTGTGTTTGTTTTTTTTCTGTTTTCTTTAGTAACTTTAGTACTTCAACTTATTTCAGTTAGTTGCCAAGGCAACATATATAATTTTCAAGTTTTAGTCATTTTATGTGTTTTTGCCATTTTATTAGTTTTACTTTTATTTTTTATTTAGCTTTCATTTTTCTTTTAAGTTTTAGCTTTAGTAATGTTTGTTGAACTTATTTCAGTTAGTTATGTACTTCTGTCATTTTATTCAATTCAAGTTTTCAATTCAATTCAAGTTTATTTGTATAGAGCTTTTCACGATACAAATCGTTGCAAAGCAGCTTTACAGAAAATTACGTTTCTACAATATATTTAGTAGTAGCTTGTCAGTGGTGACTTTTATTTATTTATTTATTTATTTACGTTTCATTTATTTTTATTTCAGTGTTGGCTTTAGTAATTTCAGAACTTCAACTTCATCTTATTTCAGTTAGTTGCCAAGAAAACTTTTTTTTTAAATTAATTATTATTTGAATTTTTTTGCTTTTGTAATTTAAAAAAAAAAAAATTATTTCTATTTTTATTTCATTTATTTTCATTCCAGTTTTAGTAATTTTAGTACTTAAAAACTAAATTAAAAATGTTGCCATGGCAACTAACTGAAATAAGTTTAAGTTCAAGTTTTTCATCTAATATTTATATTTTACTCTGTTTAAGATACTGAAAACAATTTTTAATCGTTTTATTTAAACATTACAACACTGTTATTGGGGAATGACATGTTACAATGGTGCATTATTTATTACAAAAAGTATTTGTTACTTTATATGGAGAGTAATGCGCTCATTTATTTAATCAACAAATGAAATAGAAAAAATAGAAATAGATTGCATACCTGCAAACTCTTCACCTTTCGGACCAATTCAGACCAATTGTATACAAAATACATTTTATTTATTAGGCTGCGATGTGAGGTTTATCAATTTATAAAACTTTTTTATTTTTGCCAAAACTCATTCAACCTGTAAAGTTGTTTAAATTATAGTTTTTGCAGTCATTTTACAGTTTAGGATGTTACCATAGACATTGATGTTGTTTCAAACAACATTTAGTTCTATTCTAATATCAGAATTTTCTGATTTCTACTGATTCCAATAAATTTTTAGAGAAAAAAAACATATAAACATTTTTGTTACTTAAAGGGATAGTTCACCTAAAAAGTCAGTTAGCGGAAGCTATAGATTACAGTTTATAAAGTTTTAAATATGGATAATTTTATTACAAAAACGCATCCATTCGCTTCTGGAGGCCTTTATTCACACCTCGGAGACGTGTGGAGCACTTTTTATGATGGATGGATGCGCTTTATTGGACTTCTTTTGAACTATTGTAATATAACACCCATTCACTGCCATTATAAAGCTTGGAAGAGCCAGGACATTTTTTCAACAAATGAAATAGAAAAAATAGAAATAGATTGCATACCTGCAAACTCTTCACCTTTCGGACCAATTCAGACCAATTGTATACAAAATACATTTTATTTATTAGGCTGCGATGTGAGGTTTATCAATTTATAAAACTTTTTTATTTTTGCCAAAACTTATTCAACCTGTAAAGTTGTTTAAATGATAGTTTTTGCAGTCATTTTACAGTTTAGGATGTTACCATAGACATTGATGTTGTTTCAAACAATATTCTAATATCAGAATTTTCTGATTTCAACTGATTCCAATAAATTTTTAGAGAAAAAAAACATATAAACATTTTTGTTTCTTAAAGGGATAGTTCACCCAAGAAGTCAGTTAGCGGAAGCTATAGATTACAGTTTATAAAGTTTTAAATATGGATAATTTTATTACAAAAACGCATCCATTCGCTTCTGGAGGCCTTTATTCACACCTCGGAGACGTGTGGAGCACTTTTTATGATGGATGGATGCGCTTTATTGGACTTCTTTTGAACTATTGGAATATAACACCCATTCACTGCCATTATAAAGCTTGGAAGAGCCAGGACATTTTTTTATATAACTCTGATTGGATTCTCTGAAAGAAGAAAGTCTCATATACACCTAGGATGGCTTGAGGGCGAGTAAATCATGGGCTAATTTTCATTTTTGGGTGAACTACCCCTTTAAAATAAATGTTAACTGAAATAAATGTAAAAACCTTTATTTCAGCTAGTTTCCAATTTCCAAAAACAAAAAAAATGAGAAAAACGCAACAAAATTCCTAAAATAAAAAAAAATAAAAAAAATATAATAGTGTCTCAGAGATACTAAAACAACGCTGCTCTGGAGTCTGCAGGTATGAGACTAGTTTGAACAGCTAGCTTTAAAAAGACTTTCTAACCACTGATGATTACTTAATGACGTTCCCAGAACCCTCTTGTGTCCCGGCAGGTGCAGCGGCGGCCTCGTCCTCGTCCTCGCCGTCCTCCAGCTCTCTGACGGCGGCTGTCATGCTGACGCTGGCGGATCCCACGGTGTCCGGCACGTCACAGACCTCGGGGGTGTCCGTGGAGTGCAGGTGACAGCAGCGGGACGCCGGCGAGCAGCACAGAGCACTTAGCCAGCACCCCAAAGACACTGACAGACACAGCGACGGGGCGCAAACGTGACGAAACCATAGCCACCAGACAGCAACAAGCACTATTTTATAACGACAACGGTTTCCTTGGCAAGCTAATTGCACTCAAGTGCACTTTTTTTCTGGTGGGTCTGGTTTGACAACAGGACAAAGACTATTTTTGTTTATTCGTTTGTTCGTTTTACAAACCAACCCCTTCATTTTTTTGACCATTATGAATATTTGATCCCGTCTTCATCTGCAGTGGCTGAACACTGTACTTCACCCTCAGATCCACCGGTGTAAAGTCAGTCCCGGGCCGGAGCTGTTTGAGAGGCGGCGGAGTTTAGAAACATGGGTATTCACTGACGGTCAGTCGACGCTGCAGTGCCTTACGGTTCAGGCACTTGTGAGGAATTCTGGGAAACCTGTAATCGAGGGGTAGCTGTGTGTTTCAGAACGTAGAGCCCAAACTCTCATTAAAGACAATGTCTGGTTTTCTTTTAAATCATAACAGGGATCAAGAGTCTGTCCAGGTCATATTTCACACTAAAATTAAAAGAAAAAAATGGATAAATAAAATATATAATTTTTTGCTCAAAGAAAACAAAGCCATAACAGTAATTGATTTTATAGTAATTTTTAAAGTAATTACTGCTTTTTTTAATTGTGATTTTTTTTATTTTTTATATAATTGTAATTATTATTATTTTTTTATTACTGTATTACAGTAATAAGAATCGCCAATGAGAATTATTCATTTAATATATAATTATATGCAAATAATTTCACAATGAATGCATTTCACATTGTGATTTCTATATATATATATATATATATATATATAATATGTAATAAAAATACTGTATTACAGTAATGCGATTTATGATAATCACTGAGAATGGAAATGATTCAACAGGTTTCATTATGCTTTTTTTCATTGTAAAATTTTTATATATAATTTGTTAAATGTATGATTTTTAAAAATACTGTATTAATGAAAATCACCACTGACAATAATAATTATACATTTAATAAATAATTATAACTTTCACAATAAAAAAACTAAATCTTAATGATCCTAAAAATAGGTTTCATTTTTTAAATTATGAAATGTTTTATATATACTTATTAAATATTTAATTAAAATATACTTAATAAGGTAATAAAATAAATTAATAATAGTAATAAAATAAAGACATTTTACAAAAACATTGGGAATAATTAGAATTGTATATTTAATAAATAATTGTATATAAATAATTTCACAAAGAAAATAAATCTTAATGGCTTTTAAAATGAGTTTCATTGTGCAGTTCTTTTACATTGGCATTTTTTATATATAATTTATTAAATATGCAGTTTTCAAAAACACTGTTGCAGTAACAAGAATCGCCTTTGATTATTATATATAAATAATTTCAAAATGAAAATGAAAATCTCAATGGCCCTAAAATTGGTTTCATTGTGAAATGTTTTGTATATAATTATTTGTTAAGTATTTAATTAAAAATACCATGTTACAGTAATGAGAATCACCATTGAGAGTAATGAGGATTGTATATTTAATAAGTAATTATATTTAAATAAATTTCACTATTGGAAAAAAAGTCTAATAGCTTTCATTATGCAAGATAAGTTTTAAATTTAGTTTTAGGGTTAAATTTGACTTGGACATATTTTGGTTCAGATCACGCCTTTTGAATGTTAAACCCCAATTTTTCCAAATTTTTTTTTTTTTTAATGATTTCAGAAAGCCTTATGAAAGATATATCGATCAGTTTACGTTCAGTATCTCTGGAGGTGAAATGTAATATGATTGTTGACAGTTTGAGAATTGGTGACTTTTTCTGGCAGCCAGGATTCTAAATGTATTTTACTACTGAAATCTATCCAGACCCTGTGGGGTTTTAATGGTTAATGTGGCAGTATTCAGAAGTGCAATGGCAGATTCATCTGTGATCGTGTGCAACGACAGATGCCGGTCTGTTCTGTACGTAGCCTTTGTGTGTTTATGTCTTCCTTATTTCCATTTCCCACCTCTTTTTCCAAAGCCGTAAGTGTAGGATGTGGCGTAATAAAGCATTTCATTGGCACTGTAGGAAACGGTCGGCTGGTTTGGTGGCTTGTGCCAGCAGTGACGGGTGGACTGTGGGTTAAAGCAGTAGTTCACCTAAAAATGAAAATGCATTCATGTTGTTCCAAAACCATTTGATGATATTTTCCTGTCAAACACAAAAGATGTTTGTTTACCCTACAACATCATAACATGGTGACCAGAACTGTCAATCTCCAAAAACAACATAATAGTTGTTCTTACAAATCTAAGAACAACTTGAACAAGAAGCTGGTTTCCACCACGGGATAAAAAAAAAATGTTAAAAGCCAATTGTGTCTCTTTTTTCTAACAATTCTGAGTTTGAGAATTCTGTATATATATATATATATATATATATATATATATATGAACACAGTTTATATCTTGCAATTTTTACTTTTTTGGGGGGAATTGTAAGTTTACATATATATATGTAAACTTACAATTCCCCCCAAAAAAGTAAAAATTGCAAGAAATGCGAGATGTAGACTCAAAATTCCAAGGGAAAATGTCAAAATTGTGAGATGTAAATTTAGCATTCTGAGGGGGGAAAAATGTCAGAATTGCAAGATTTAGACTCAGAATTCTGAGGAAACAAAGCCAGAATTGCGCGATATAAACTAATAAAGCTGAGATTAAAGTCAAAATTGCCAAATGTAAACTCAAAATTTTGAGGAAAAAAACCCCCGCAAAACTGCAAGATGTAAACTCAGAATTCCATGTGAAGTCAAAATTGTGAGATGTAAACTCAGAATTCTAAGAAATGTCAGAATTGCGAAATTTAAACTCAGAATTCTAAGAAAAACAGCTGAATTGCAAGTTGCAAACTCGATTTTGAGGAAAAAGACAAAACTGCGAGACAAAACACGGCGGAATTGCAAGATGTAAACTGAGAATTTTGAGGGGAAAAAGTTAGAATTGTGAGATGTCATTTTAGAATTCAGAGAAAAATACGTCAGAATTGTGAGATGTAAACACAGACTTACAAGGAAAAATGTCAAAATTGCGTAATGTAATAATGAGAAAATTAGGTCAGAAATGCGAGATGTAGACTCAAAATTCCAAGGGAAAATGTCAAAATTGTGAGATGTAAATTTAGCATTCTGAGGGGGGAAAAATGTCAGAATTGCAAGATTTAGACTCAGAATTCTGAGGAAACAAAGCCAGAATTGCGCGATATAAACTAATAAAGCTGAGATTAAAGTCAAAATTGCCAAATGTAAACTCAAAATTTTGAGGAAAAAAACCCCCGCAAAACTGCAAGATGTAAACTCAGAATTCCATGTGAAGTCAAAATTGTGAGATGTAAACTCAGAATTCTAAGAAATGTCAGAATTGCGAAATTTAAACTCAGAATTCTAAGAAAAACAGCTGAATTGCAAGTTGCAAACTCGATTTTGAGGAAAAAGACAAAACTGCGAGACAAAACACGGCGGAATTGCAAGATGTAAACTGAGAATTTTGAGGGGAAAAAGTCAGAATTGTGAGATGTCGTTTTAGAATTCAGAGAAAAATACGTCAGAATTGTGAAATGTAAACAGACTTGCAAGGAAAAAATGTCAAAATTGCGTAATGTAATAATGAGAAAATTAGAATCAGAATCAGAATCAGAATGAGCTTTATTGCCAGGTATGTTTACACATACGAGGAATTTGTTTTCATGACAGAAGCTTCCACAGTGTAACAGAATGACAGTGACAGAACAAAAAACACAGATAATAAAAAATAAAAAATAGAACAAGTAAATAAGGAATAAAAATATACAAATCGACAATTAGGTCAGAAATGCGAGATGTAGACTCAAAATTCCAAGGGAAAATGTCAAAATTGTGAGATGTACATTTAGAATTCTGAGGGGGGGGAAACGTCAGAATTGCAAGATTTAAACTCAGAATTCTGAGGTGGAAAAAAAGCCAGAATTGCGCAATATAAACTAATAAATCTGAGATTAAAGTCAAAATTGCCAGATGTAAACTCAAAATTTTGAGGGGAAAAAAAACGCAAAACTGCGAGATGTAAACTCAGAATTCCACGTGCGAGATGTACATTTAGAATTCTAAGAAATGTCAGAATTGCAAAATTTAAACTCAGAATTCTAAGAAAAACTCGATTCTGAGGAAAAAGACAAAACTGCGAGACAAAACACTTGCTAGATGCAAACTCGCAATTGCAAGAAATTAAAAAACATAATTGTGAGCTTTAATCTCATAATTCTCAGTGACCATTTTTATTGTTTTATTCAATGGCAGAAACAAGTTTCCATATCCATCACGATTTTAGAAGACTTCACAGAATGGTTTGGAATGACACGCTCATTTTGGGGTGAATTATTACCATAAAACCATGAGAAGCTATGAGAACCAATGAACAGCATCCTACATCTTTCATCTTTCATGTGGCTCTCTTTACTTTGAAAACGCCAGGCTGTCATCTCTAAAGCTCGGTGGATTCATCCTGCGCGGTCTGACCAGGGGAAGGGTTACGATGGTGAACACATGCCTCGTATGTACTGAAGATCTCCAGAGTTTCTTTTGTATAGACTCCCTCTTGTATCATAACCTGAAGGTCTGTAGAGTTTGGCACTTGTATGTAATTGTATGCCTTTGTTATACATTTGTATATTGAGAAGTGTGTTTTGAGTCGAGCTATTTAATATCTTGCACTGTTAATACCATGTACGCTTCTGTACAGTTTTAACTGTGTACATCCGGAAGGTCGAAGCATGTTCGTTTTCTTATCCGTTCTTTTGTGTTTCGTTCTTGCATAGAAGTTAGTTTTGATTCAGTTTTTCATACTTTTTCATTTTCGACATAATATAGTATTTCCGTTAAACTGTGCTTGTACTACGTTTTCTTTTCTTTTTATAATGTGTGTATTTTCCAGTCTGTACATGAACTGTAAAGTTTTATGGATCTTTACAAAAATGTCCAGAGACGTTTGTAAAGATGAGCGAGAGAGAGAGAGATTGTCAAAGCTTAACGGGAAGATCTATCATATTTATTAAGCGCATCAGAAGATGGACCGTGTGTAATTTATTGTACAAATGTAAGCAGAAAAGCCTTTGAAATAAATAAATGCCATAGTTTGTGACCGCGAATGTCCACTTTGGTTCATATCGAGAATCTTAAGGAACAAAGCCTTATATAATTAGAAAGTTTCAATATTTAGGGGAAAAAAAGCTTCTTGAAGCCTCTAACAATGCATAACAAAATAATAATAAAAAATAATAATATACACATTAATAGAAAACCTCTAAGTTCAGAATAGAAATGAGTACAATGGGTATTTTATATATATATATATATATATATATATATATATATACACACTACCAGAAACCATTATTTTATATTGTAATAACATTTTGCAAGATTACTGTTTTTTTTCTGTATTTCTGATCAAATAAATGCAGCCTTGATGAGCAGAAGACACTTCTTTAAAACACATTACAAATCTTACTGACCCCAAACTTCTGAACAGCAGTGTGTATATATACATATATATATATAGACAATCTCAGTCATACACATTTTGAAGTCAGTGACAAGTTTGTGATCAATAATATATATTCTCACTCTTAAAGTTTTGTATATCAACTTATGTATAATTTTAAAATAATAAAAATACATAACATTATATATATATATATATATATATATATACACACATTATTTTATTTTTCTACCTTGATCTGCTCTTTAGAATAAAAGATCGAGCCAGCCTGAATCTATTGAGTCTCATGAAGACATCTGTGCACTAATCAGCAGAATCAATTAAATCTGTTCATTCAAAAGATTAAAGCCTGTTTTATAAACAGAAATATTTCCAGGAATCGCTGTAAAAGCAATCATGAACACTGGAAACTTCATGGAAATTAATGGAAGTTCAAATGAAAAATTATTTTATTTATGTTTTATTTTCATAACACTAATAACTTATGTGCATGAAGATTTACCGAGAAGCATTAAACCATGTAGTAATGTTATTATCAGTGATTGCAGTGAAACTTACTGACAAAATGCTTTTATATGCAGTTCAAGTCCATTTCAGTCAAGTTCTTTAAATAATTTTTTCACTGTTTTTAACTGAATAAACATTAACATTGCACATGCACTGTCGTTCAATGCAAATATTGAATATTATACAATTGTGCATGCAAAAATAAATCAGAACAGGGAACATAGAAAGCAAATACAAAAATAAAAGCATTTTTCAGCCAATTTAGATGTTTTTAATCTTTCAGGCGTCTGCAGCGAACACTCCCAACAGTGCTTTCGTCATCAGAGGGGTCCTTCCGCCGCTCGGTGAGCACGTGTTCTTCAGGAGCGGCAGCGGCAGCGGCAGCAGATCTCCGGTAACGGCGCCTCGATGATGGGCGGCAAACCGAGCGCGATCGCCGCGGGCGTCTGCGGCGCGATCTTCATCGGGTACTGTATCTATTTCGACAGAAAACGACGCAGCGATCCGAGCTTCAAAACCAGACTGCGTGAACGTGAGTCATGTGATCGGCGAGACTAGTTCACAGATTACTAGTACGCTGGTTAGGTTTAATGCGGTCAGCTGGTGTTTAGATTATAACACGGTGTCTTGATCATAACTAGCAGGTCAGGCACGTTCAGATAAAAGACTGTATTTTTGACCCCCGGTGTGTTGCGCGTATGAATGATTCATTGAATCGGTTCGTTTGAATGACTCTGTCGAACGGTTCACCTGTGAGTCATAAGGTGATCATACTCTCATGATCGCATAGCTGTCTGATCAATCAATATGAGTGGCGCCACCAAGTGTAAATATCGCCTGATTTTAAGTGTAGTAGATGATGAAGAATCATATTGGCTGAATCGAATCAGTCTGGTGTCTTGGATTTTGTGCGTCTGATTCGAGATTTGAATCAGCTACTTGGATATATATATATGCATTACATATATAAATATAAAATGAATGAATGCAGAGATGTGTAGTTTGATGTGCTGTTTTCTTCTCTTTCTTAGGGAGGAAGAAGCAGAGAGCTGCTCAAAATAAATCTGGACTTGCTCAAGTAGGTCAAACATCTGATCACCTTTAGATGTTTATGAATCTTGTCATTATTATGGGAGATGTTCCTCTAGAGCAGGACACCACCGACCCCCAAATATGATCACCCTCGTGCTTTTTTTAAAAATTACATTGAAAAGAAAGCTATATGTTTTCATGTATAAAGGCCCACTTTATGCTATGAAAAATTAATATAAATGTGTGTGAAATATTCTTTAGAAAATATTTAGATTCTGTTATGTTGCATTATTATAAATGTTTCTATCACTATCGTACTTTACTGTAATTTTTAAGCATTTGTTTTATTTTAATTGTTCTTTATATAGTTAATTTTAAGCTATTTGTTTTGTTAGATCTTATTGTTTTTTATTCATTTTTTCATTTATTTTAATCAAATTTAGTTAGGTCTTATTGTTTATTATTTATTTTAATCAGTTTTATTGTATTAATGTTCTCATATTAATATTCTCATATTAATTTTTTCATTTATTTTAATCAAATTTAGTTAGATTTTTTGTTTCAATTTTTTGTTTAAATCATTTTATATTTTAATCATTTTATTTTTATTTTAATTAGATCTTATTTTTCATTATTTATTTATTCTAATCGGCTTTAATTTATTTTCTGATTTTAACAATTTTTCATTTATTTTAATCAAATTTAGTTAGGTCTTAATGTTTATTATTTATTTTAATCAGTTTTATTGTATTAATTTTCTCATATTAATTTTTCATTTATTTATCACATTTAGTTAGATTTTTTTATTTATTTCAATAATTATTCATTTAAATCATTTTATATTTTAATAATTTAGTTAGATCGTATTAATTTATTCTAATCAGTTTTTATTCATTTTCTGATTTTAATAATTTCATCTATTTTTTTTTAATCAAATTTAGTTAGTTGGATTTTATTTTTTTTAATCTGATCTCTTTTTTTTTTTTTACATTTATTTAAATATTTAATTTAATTGTAATATATTTTTAAAATCTAATTATTTAGTTTAACAGATCTTATTTTAATTTATTTTAAAATGTTTTACTCTGTTTAACTGTCCCGCAAACTCCCCAGCACTGCATTTCAGTCCTCGGACCTCAGTTTGAAAAGCCTCTCTAGAGCTTCATGAAGATGGTGAGCTTTGGCCATATGCAGCAGATTGTCAGTCTTTATCTTTCAGCTGCCAGATCTGAAAGATGCGGCAGCCGTGCAGAAGTTTTTCCTGGATGAGATTCAGCTGGGCGAGGAGCTGCTGGCACAGGGTGAGATGTTTGGCTCTGTTTGTTCTGCATGGGGTTTCTAGATCTACTGTGCCTGCCGTGAAGTGATAAATGCCCAAATGTGTTCCTCAGGAGACTATGAGAAGGGTGTTGATCACCTGACCAATGCCATCGCCGTCTGCGGCCAACCACAGCAGCTCCTGCAGGTGCTTCAGCAGACTCTGCCTCCACCCGTCTTCCAGATGCTGCTCACCAAACTACCAACCATCAGTCAGGTGAGCTCAAACTACATATCTGACCCTGGAGCACAAAACCAGTCATAAGGGTCAATTTCTCGAAATTGAGATTTATACATCAGCTTTTGTGCTCCAGGCTCACATATTAAACCCATCACTGACTGTCCACTGCATTCTCCAAAACCCCCCGTGAGCTGCGTGTAGCTTCTGGGACAAGAAGGAATGCAACAGAAAGCCAAGAACTTTCCAAAGCTACATGTCTTCGCAGTGACTATTAGCTATTTCACGTCTTGAACACTGACATAGCTGTCATTGACGTTACGCAGCACATGCTGTTCGTAGAGAACTCGTATTAAAGGAGCAGTTCACCCAAAAAAACCCAGATGTAGATGAGTTTGTCCAGATGTAGATGAGTTTGTCT